CTGGGCCCGGATCCTGAAGATTTGGGAGGAGATATTCCCGGCTAGAGTAAGGAAACCCAGGTCTAAGGAGGAGGTCCTCAGACAGCCTCTATTCTGCAATCCYTGGCTAAAAGACTCCCAAGGGAAGCCAAGGACACTGACAGCAAGAGATACCAGATGGGGCAAYTGGGTGGAGCACGGGGTGTKGCAGATTAAACACCTRTGGTCCCAAGAAGARGGAAGGTGGAAAACAGGGAGGGAGCTAAGAGTCTCGATGAAGGGTTGTCACAGGCTCACAGAAAACCTGAACGACATCCTGATTTCCGTCCAGCAGGAATGGACCCAACTGTTGAGGGCACCGCACRAATGGATATGGKDAGACTGGGCGACTTGGAGCAACAGCACAACACCGGAACATGCTTTCCGCATACATCAGGAGGTGGGTCCTGACAATCAGTGGCTGGAGGGGGAAATGTTTCCTATTTTGTCTCCCGGCGCCACAGTTAGTCCTCTAGACAAGGCAGCGAAAGTAGCAGTCGCTATCAGGAAGAATAGGTTAAGGAAAATAAGGGTGATAGAGGATGATGAACTCACAGCGTTTGCTCCTACAACGGCCATACAGGAACTCGAGATAGACCCGGCAGAGTGGGCATGGAACATAAAGGGGAGAGTTTCAGGAATAACCACAAAAGTCAACATCCTGCGGTACACAACCAAGTTGGGCTATAAATTAAGAGGGAGATCGATACAGACGGACCAACCCCTAGCCATCAGATGGGAAAAGCGTGAGGGGATACCAAGAGGGCGGGTGGAGCAGCTCCCATGGTCAAGGCTGCAAGCCATAAGACTAGGTAAGGTGAGAAGTCTGCAATGGCTCATCTCACGTCGCCTTCCCGGTTAATACTTGGCTCTATGATAGGAGGAGCAGGCCAAACAGGGTAGACGGTGAGCAGAACTGCACCTTGTGTACAGGGGGGCTCCCGGAAACAATGAAACACTGCCTYATCTCCTGMKCTGAGGCGAAGCAGATATGGAAAGTGGCGCGCACTCTCTGGGACAGGGTTACGGACGTTCCCTTCCCCGAGGCTGAGGGGCAGCTACTGATTGGCACAGAGGCACCCAGGGAATGGAAGGCAAGTCACAGGTGTATCTTCGAGCTGCTGAGAACCTATACGCTTTGGACAGTATGGAGAAGAAGATGCCAAATGGTGGTGGGTAATACTGGGATGTCCACAAAGGAAGCTAAGGCAATCCTGTACCACTTACTGGAGACGGATATCAGGGCCCAGTGGCAGAGGGTTAAGAACAAGCGGAGAAACAGGAGGAAACGAACCCGGAAAAAGCCAAGGAAATAATCACTAAGTTTCAGAATAAGGTCCTTGCATCGGGCCGAGTAGCGACACTGGAGGGGAAAACACTCCGTTTCCAATGGTTCAGGGAGAATCAGCAGGAAACATCGCAGGTCGCCGCTGGGCAGGAACTAGTACTAGACCAACCCTAAAGGCAGGCTGGTTAAGAGGGTGGGGGGAGGGAGGCACAGGCCCAGGGTCGAGATTTTAAGGGCTAACATGAGCAAGAGGCAAGGTTTAGGGTTTAGGGTTTAGTAGACCATTAGGGAAGGGGTTAAGGGCCAGGAGGGATATAGCAACTCAATCCGTAGGATCCGGAGGTTCACAATGGGAGGATAGTGGTAAGGGATAAAATTCATCGGAGAACGAAAATATTGGATATCACTGGTAGGCGGGATTAATGGGAGGAAAGGAGGTCACTTAAGGCATCTAAATGAGGGGTAGGGTTTAGGGTTTAGGGTTCAACAGACCACAAGGACGGGGGTGAACAGGTCGGACCAAGGAGAACACAGCAAATAAGGGTGGGATGGGTGTGAGGGCCAGCAYGGGCACACAKCAGCATGGGAGGATCTCTTTCTAGGCACAATAGTCATAACTGGCAGAGCTGCGAAAGTAGGTCTGAGAGGGAAGAGGGACTCTAGGCAAGCTGACAGTCAATCCTCCACCCAAAGTGGAGCAATCAATGCTGTTCAGGGGTCCTCCGGCCGGMCGGGAGGAAGCGTGAGTTGTTTTGCAGTGTATCATATTTTGACTTGCCGGTGGAATAGGAACCGGACTGACGCTCCCCAGAATGGAAGGTGTACGAGTTCTATTCGAAGTGCTCAGCTCTTTGAGAAAAGTACACCTGCGCCATTTCGATTTTGAAATGTTCAAAACTCGAGGACCGCGGCTTCCTCGGCCTCCTACGGGAAGCTACCGGTCCTACACAGTCCCGACCCTAGCAGGCCCCCAAAACCTCAAAACGCCCACCCTCCCCAACGACCACCACCACCGACGTTGAAATTTTCAAGGACGTTGAAAGTCTCAGGGGGGGAAAACGCAACCCTGACGGGCTGCAAACAAGGCTGGCCGTCATTGGGCACGAGCTGCCCACATCCCCGTGTGCCATAACGGCCCACTTGCAAACTATGAAAGGAGGCAGAGCAAAGGCGGAGGTTTACTACTGTTCATTTCTTTTCAGATTTTTAACTTATATTTTTGTATGTTCTCTTAGTCATGCTCATTTGTACCTGTGTGTGTGCATGTCTGAGAGAGAGAGGAAGACGGAGCAAGAGAGAACTGTTCAACCTGTGCACTTTGCTCCTGTACCCAAACTCCTGCCCACAACTGGGGCTGAGGTTGCACACACTTGCCGTCTCTCTCTCTCTCTCTCTCTCTCTCAGTGTGTGTGTGTGTGTGTGTCACACACAACCCCACACACAATATAAAAAATAAAAAACACATTTATACTCCCAGCTACAGTCTCCATGTCCAAACCATGCTCAGCAAAATACAAAGCACAGTTTCTACTAGAAAAAGCACCCAAGGTACTAAACATCGAGAAGAATCCATATTATTGCTAAGAAAAATTATCACCAGGAAGCAGTACCTGGGGATCCTCATAATTGCAATTTTCTTGTAGTTTCCCAATGGGTTGTAGCACTGAGTCCACTGCCTACAACGCCGAGTCTCTCTCTCTCTCTCTCTCTCTCTCTCTCTCAC